CACTGTGACTGCTGGATATGGGCACCAGTGACCCACGCAACCCTGAAAAGGAAGAAGCGTGTACAGAAAATGGATGGATGGATGGATGGATGGATGAAAAACTGTCTAAATCTGTTTTTAAGTCTTTCTCTTATTTAAGTGGTTTTGACTCAATTTCTTTGTCTTCCTCCTTTATAGTCGCAGAGTAAAGTGAGGCTGAATGAAATCATTCGAAAGAATTCACAACATACCGCTCTTGTTATTGTGTGAGTACAAAGTTTACATTGTCTAAACAGATTCCATATATTACAAGCTCAGTAAATGTGCATTATGTTTCAGTAAACGGAGTGCATATTCAAACAGAATACTGTAAAATTTCCAGATTTTAAGTGTTCATTGTCATATGCACAAATAGAAACATGTTTCTCTGAGCAATGCAATTCTAGCTTTGTTGTCATGCCAGGCAGAGAGAGAAATAAAAATAGACATTTAAAAGTAAAAGAAAAAAACAAAAAGTACTTTACAGAAAAGAGATTTATTTAACCTTTATTTAACCAGGAAGACACATTAAAAATAAAAATGCCTTTTTCAAGATGAATCTGGAAAACAAAACATTCGGTTATTTAAGAGTCTGATGGGAAGAGTTGTTAAGTCTGGAGTTTCCGCATTTCACATTTCTGTACCACCGTCCCGAGGGTAGACATGTGAATAGTCCATGTTGGGTGTGGGTTGGGTGAGTGGAGGTGGTCTGGTCAGTGCTGGTGATCTTCTCTGCAGTCTTCACCACCCTCTGCAGGCGTTTGCGATCCACAAATCTGTAAAGGTTTCTGAGGAYTTTAGGTGACATGTCAAACTTCCTCAGGCTTCTTAGGAAGTAACTATTAAGAGTGAGTGTGTTGTTGTCACACCATGACACCAGGCTGGCCACCTCCTGTAAAACTGCTRCATCATTTACCAAAAGTTTTAGTTGATAGACGTGAAAAATGATACACTGTTATGATGAAGCACTTCAGTACCTACTCTTGTCTTGCTTTCAGATCAAATAAACCTGATTTTTTTTCTTTCAGGAGCCTTCCGGTGCCTCAGAGTGACTGTCCCAGTGCTCTGTACATGGCCTGGTTGGACACTCTGACCTGTGGTCTCCACTGCCCCGCTGTGTTAATACGAGGAAACCAACAGAACGTCCTCACCTTCTATTGTCAGTAAATAAACTATGAAGGATGGAGGAGTCATACAGAAATGGAAAACTCAATGCACTGATTTTAAATAACTCTGAAATTGATAAATTCAAGTTGTATGATTTGCAAAATTCTTATAAAATTTGTTAACAACACATGCTAAGATTCATAGCTCCTGTTGATCATAATAATCTAAARTATGCAGCTAATCACATATTTTAAAGCTTTAAACATTTATTATAAATCAAATTTAGCAATGTAGGGTGMATCAAAAATGATAGATGAACATGAGAACATTGATGAAAATAAAGCAATTCAATTTACTGAGGTGTACAAAGTGATTCCTGGTATTGATTCCTCGAGTATAGGSCTACAGTCACACTGCAGGCAAATGTGCCCCTATGTAGTATGTGGTACTAAAATGAACATAGGTTTTTCAAAGCAACCTCAGTCTGAAGAAAGATGGAGCATTTAATTCAACTTTTACGTCAGTGAGGTGGGGTAAGCAGATACAGATACCTACATTTTGCAGTTTAAATATTAGAAATTTGCACATCTTCAGCTACAGAACAGAAGTCCAGTTGCATCATCTTTTATTTTAAGTTCCCATGTCCTGGATGACTGAGAATCCACAGCAACATAGGATGGTAATGTTAGTGTTGGGATGTATAGATTTAGAAAATAGTTTCAGCATGTCACACCTATTCAAAAAATATAATGCTGCATGTTAAAAGGCTAGAGGTTGCATTTAAAGTAAAATGTGAACATCCACACAAAAAACAGTAATAAACTACCACAAAAATAAAAATTAGATTTGAGAAAAAATTGTAGATGAGCATGAAGACCAGCAGTGTGAACATAGCCAAATAAAAACCACAACTATATATATTAAGACAGCACCACCACATTTTTTAACTTGTACTCTTTAGAGCTACACTACATTTTTCCACTAATCAACAATAATGATAGAGGTTTTAGCTACTTTATATCTTGCATTCATGTTGATCAGTGATAATGGCTTTTGCACAACTTTCTGTAATAAGAATGTTTTATTTTTGTTCCAGATATAAGATTCCTTTCTGTAGAAACAAACTTGTTACTGACAGCCTTTTTTTGTTTGCATAAATTCACCATGTGACAAAACCATGTAACCGTGTTTTGCAGCAATGTCACTTTACCCCCTGTTGGTGTGCAAACAGCAACCATTGAGTAATTGKTTTTTTAGAAGCTGCTACAATCTTTGCCCTAACAACATCACCAAACAATAAAACTGCTTTACTTTGGCTTTATTTTTTTTAAATTCATATTGAAAGAATGAATCAACATGTTTTGGAAATATCTCTATTGTTTTACAGTTGTTCTTTTCAACTTGTCATTAGTCATGAGAATGTTTTTTATTTGTAAAAATGTTAATTTTTACATTTTCTTTGGTATATTTAAAACATTTTCACTTAGCTTCAGATATAAAAGGTATCTTRAGTGGACATTTCTGTTGATTCAGTAGGATGGTTATCTGGTTAGTTTAGGACAAAAGCACTCAGTGGTTATTTTGTTTYTGTTTTCTTTAAACTTTATTATTGTGCATAATTTGTACATGTTTATTTTGTTTGTGTGTGATAATTCCTTATTTGTTTTCTAAGGTAATGACGAATAAAGTGACAACTATTCAGAGCTGCAAGAGTGTTTGTTGACTTCTGACACTTCCTCGTGACAGATTTGGATTTTTGGTTTGCTATTCACATGTTCAAACCAGTTTTCCATATAAAGCATGTTTGGACATGTCTGGAGCTGYGGAGACAGAAAGCAGGGTTTCTGCAGGAATCAGCCAATCAAATTTAATTCTTTTTAATGCCAAATTTAATGCTATTTTAAAACATTTTTAAAGCCTAGTTATGTTAACATAAACTTACAAGTTTAAGTGCCACTTTAAAGCTCATTTTGATGCCATTGACAATGAATGCATAAATTATTACACAACTTTTTGTTTGCTTTACAGAAGATTAAGTTATGCACTTTAACTCCCTAGGATTTTACCCCAATTTAAACTTATATAAATGTGCAATGGTTAGTCTGGAATGTCTGAAGCCATGGGGACAGGAGGACATGGGTCAAAAAAGGGATGCAGAGAAATAAAATTTAATTTATTATAAGAATTAAACACAATTAAAGATTTGTTCTCTGGTTGCTGAATATTTTATGCATTTATTCATTGTGTTGTTTAATTTATGTTGTTATAAAATTACCATAGTGAAACAGGATAATTAGATTTTTTTACTGCTCATGGGCGCCACCTGGGGGCAATCCCACCCCCTCCAAATGTTTTGCTTGTGCAATTGTTTTTTAAATTTCCTGTAGATCTTTAACATTATTATAAAATAACCTCATAAACATAAAGCAAATGTTTTTGAGCAATTAGCAGTTAAAAGTTTAAATATATTATTTAACCGTAGCCCTCCTAAATAAGGACAAGTGGTCTAAAACCAGCGTCCTCAGCGTTAGGATGCAAAGTCTAAGGATGTAAGACATGATTTAGGGATGCACGGATATGAAAATTTCAGCCGATATCGATATCCGTTATAATTATTGCTGTTATGGCCGATAACCGATATTTACCAATATTATACAAACACACAAATTGTATTATTCAAATATGCACAAATACACTTGGATCTTTTTTTTGTGATACTGTAAATAAACGACCAGACCTCTGACATGGCTCCCTACTTCAGTCATTCCTGGCTGTGCAGTGTCATTATCATTATCACGATCAAACAGATGCTGCTCAACCAACCATCTCCCCTCCCAGAACAGAAACACAAAGCTAAAAAGTGGGAAATCAATATCGGATATTAATATCGGCCCAGTTTTACTTATGGGATCGATACGATATTCTAAAAAATGGCCAATATTGGCTGATACCGATATTATTGCCAATTTATCGTGCATCCCTGATTTCTAATTTTTTTTTTTTCGTTTTTTAAAACTTTATTCGAATTTTTCATGAACAGTTACTGTGCAGTAGCATAACACTTACAGTACATCTA